CACGCTCATATCAGAATGGCACTGTTGAAAGGAGATACCATACAATTGTCAAAACTGGTCTTGCTCTTATGCATCATGCTTCTCTTCCACAGGCTTACTAGACCTTTGCTTTCTCAACTTCATCTTTTCTTTTAAATCGTCTGCCAAGTTCTATATTAAATAATAAAAGCATATTTGAAGTTCTCTACAAACAAAAGCCTAACTATCATTTCTTGAAAGTTTTTGGCACCAGTTGCTAGCCCAATCTACGGCCCTATGCTACTCATAAGCTTGCCCCACGATCTCATCTTTGCATCTTCCTTGGCTATGCCCCTTATCATTTGGGTTATCTCTGCTTACATCTTCCTTCAGGCCGAATTTACACGTCCAAGGATGTCATTTTTTATGAAAACCTCGTTCCCTTTTGAGCCCAGTCCAATACTAGTGAGCCCAACACCCTCTTAACTCCACGTACCCATCTTCCTATTATTTCCCTCTAGCCCAATACTTCCAATACTAGTGAACCTAATGCGTCCATCACCAAGCCTAATAACCCAGGCCCACTCCCTCATTCAACCCTACTCTTCTCCTCCCTTCCCCAACATGATCTCCCCTTCCCTTTCTTCAGTGTCCTCACCATCCTCTCTCTCTCCTTTCCCTGGTTCTTCACCTGCCACTTTGCCTGCCACCATACCGCCACCTGCTCAACCGTCTCATCTGATGGTCATAAGATCAAAAGCTAACATCTTTAAACCCAAATCCCTCACTCCTAACCTTCTCTCACATATACCTCTATGGGCTCACTACTCCTTAATCTCTACACCTCCTATACCCTCATCTGTCTCTCAAGCCATCAAGATACTTGAATGGTGACAAGCCTTGCAGGATGAATATCACGCCCTTCCCTCTACCCACACCTGGGATCTGGTTGCTTACTCCTCTTCTATGAATATTGTTGGTTGTAAATGGGTTTTTCGAACCAAATATCTAGCCAATGGTTCCCTCAACAAGTTCAAAGCCAGCCTTATTGCTAAAGGCTTTTATCAACAACTCAGAATTGATTTTTTCTCCCCTGTAGTCAAACCAGTCATTGTCCATCTCATATTGTCCCTTACTATCTCCAATGGTTGGCCAATAAATCATATTGATGTTCAAAATGCTTTTGACGATGGATTTCTTCCTAAGAATGTCTATATCCAGCAATGTCCTGGGTTTGTCCATCCTAATTTTCCACATTATGTTTATAAATTGCACAAGGCCATCTATGGACTAAAACAAGCACCTCGTGCATGGTATGCTTGTCTTAGTGCTCGATTAGCCGAACTTGGCTTCTCTTCATCTCGGTCTGATTCCTCCCTGTTCATTTGTCATAATTCCAAATGCACTATCTATGTTTTAATTTATGTTGATGACATAATTGTTACTAGGTCTTCTATTAATGTTGTTCAAGATTTAATTGCCGTGGTTGGTATATCTGTCCCTGTCAAAGATCTAGGAGAATTGCATTACTTTTTGGGTGTTGAATTTCTTCCATCTTCCTCTGGTCTCATTCTTTCTCAACATAAATACATCTTGGATCCCCTTGATAAAGCCCAGATGTCCAAAGCTCGTCCCGTTTCCACACCTGTTGCTTTTGGCTTTATTCTTACTGCCTCTCTTGGTCCTAATTTTTCCAATCCTAGACACTATAGAAGTATTGTTAGCAGCCTCTAATACCTAAGTTTTACTTGTCCTGATATTACCTTTGTTGTCAACTGAGTTTGTCAATATATGCATCATCCCAAAGAGCACCATTGGACTATTGTCAAATGCATTTTGTGATATCTAAGAGGCACTTCTCATCTTACACTTCATATCCGGCCCTCTCCTTCACTCACTCTATCTGTCTTCTCTAATGTTGACTGGGGAGGAAAACCTGATGACTCTAGATCAACAAGAGCATTTGCCATCTACCTTGGCCCCAATCTCATTGCTTGGAGCTCAAAACAACAACTACGGTGGCTCGTTCAAGCATAGCAGAATACAAAGCCATTGCCACTAGTGCTAGTGAAGTTATATGGCTACATGACTTCCTCTATGAACTTGGAATTTATCTGCATGATGCACCTTTCCTTTATTGTGATAACTTGGGTACTACCTATCTTGTAGCCAATCCAGCTTTTCACTCCAAGGCTAAGCACATTTCTCTTGACTATCATTTTGTCTGTGAAAGGCTCACTGCTGGCCTTCTCCGTATCTTGCATGTCTCTTCCAGAGATCAAATTGTGGATATTCTAACCAAGCCTCTACCTACTTCTCGGTTTTCTGCCCTGTGCTCGAGTCTCACAGTACTTCCAGCCCAGTTCAACTCTCGAGGGCGTATTGAAGCCCAACATCTGAACAAAGCCCAAAAGCAAGCCCATAATGCAAACTAGATAGAAATGCTCTTCAATCCTTTGAGTTTACTTTACACGTGTCTCAATTGTACTAGATAGTGTTCTCTATATATTGAACTAGCCACTGTACAGACATCGTAGTGAGGAAATACAATACATTTTGAATTATGTAGCTCTGTGCCTCTCTTATTATGTTGCTCTATTTTCATTTCTATCCTATTAACAGTATACAAAGTAAATATGTGATACAAGTTGTCTTGATTTGTATGAAAGTGTTTTTTAAAAATGCTTCCAACCACCCCCTAAGTAAATAGTCATTTCTCCTTTTCTTTTCCTTGATTAGGAATCAATATTAATGTATATTAATAGTTATATAAAGACCAAAGATTTAGGCTTTTTTTTCCCCCTGAAAATGGTAAACAATTTCGCTTTTCATCAAGCTTAATTTTTTACTGCCCAACAGAGAGAGATATGCCTTGTTCATAAACAGCAAAAGAGCACAAAGCACTGGAAACAACAAACACACACTTAATTACAACACAGAGCAATAAACAAGAAAAACACCTTGATACAATACAAAACGTCACGAACAAACTATCATAAACATATAAAAATGAAATTAAAAAAGAGATACTATCTCTGTAACTCTATAACTCTATCTGATAACTACACACACGCGCGCGCATGTATATCCCTCTCCATCAATGGTGAAACAGATAGGACTAGGAAAGAAGACAAGTCTCACCCACTTGCACCAAAGCAACAAGTATATCTTCCATGGATTCAGCTTTTGTTTGCAAATTAAGTGAAAAACTTTCTGACATCAAATCTCGTTCCACAGGCATAAAGGTGTGTGGGTTATCAGATGAAGAAGAAGTAGGGTCCTGAACAACGCAAGGGCTTCAGAGAATGAACAGGTCCCAAATAGAAGAAATGATATTCCATTATTATATTATTGTCTGTCATGTACAAAAATGAGTTCCTCTACCATCATCATGTCCCAAATTTCAAGAGCCACAAAGTGAGCAGTATGAAAACGAGGATGCAAAGAACGGCATCAACGATCTTAACAATCTTTGATACTCCCATCATCACCAAAACTTGCCAGTAGATCAGATATGTGGGGAGCCAAAGTATAATGGATGCCTTCCAACCAATAAACTAGACCAGCCCCATGAAGCTTTATGTTCCTTAGCATAAGAAAGTCATTATTAGGGAAATAAAGTAAATTAAACATTCATCTGAAGCTGGAAATATTGTACTTTGGACAAATATTGTAGAAAGATTATTTTAACTGATGTTGCTGAGAACTGCAAATGTTTGGGAGAGGAAGAAATTAAATGTTGATATGGATGAGAATCACTTGAACACAAAGCCATATATAATGGTGTGCTATAAAACGGATGCGAGTATTGCATGTGATCACACATACCTTAGATAAGAGCATCACCATGAGACTACAGCTGCCTCAATAAGAACACCATAAGATCGATGGTGATCACTTGTCTTAAATAAGACTATACTATGAGATAACATGTACCTTACTAAATAATTTGTTGTCAGACATGCCGAGATTGTGAAAATATAAACAGAATATTTTTGTTTTAAAGCAATAACTCAATTAGGTATAAAGTTTGGAGCTATGTGTGTCACACCAGACACCTAGATGAGAGTGCCATGCAAGTATAAGTGCCTCAAAAAAGAAGAAGAAGAAGAAGAAGAAGAAGAAGAAGAGATACTTCCTATCTTAAGTGCCTCAAAAATCACTTTAAGATTTTGCTATTTATAATGGTGTTGTAAAGTGTGAGAGTGTTGCATATGATTACACCTCTCTTAGATGAAAGCATCACCACGAGATCACACCTATCTCAACAAAAATATCATACAATCGACAGTGATAATAGCTATCTTAAATAAGACTAAACTATGAGATAACATATATCTCACTAAACAATTTACGGTCGGACATGCTGAGATTGTGAAAATATGAACAGAATGTTTGTGTTTTAAAGCAATTAACTCTATTAGGTATAAAGTTTGGAGTTATATGTGCCACACCAAACACTTAGATGAGAATATCATGCAATTCCAAGTGCCTCAACCAAAAATAGCATGAGATTATTCCTAGCTTAAGCAAAAATACTACACAAGATATAACCAGGCCATGCCGCAAATATAGCCAAAACATTTGTGTTGGAATCCAATAATATCATAGCAAATCTCTCACATCAAGAAGCCTCATAAATGAAGCATTGTTTATAAGTTCAACAGACTCTCCTAACTATTCTTTTGTAATTGAATTCTCCCTTGATGTACGTCCATTGTGCTTAGATAAACTTATGTGGATGTTTAGTTTGATTGAGATATTAAAATGTGCGGTTGCCTTTTACTTATTGTGAATCTTATGAATTGAGTTTCAACCAACATACCCCTAATCAAAATCAAATTTTAATTTTAAGTTATTGAGGGAAATAATTGCCAAATCACCATCCAAGTTATTATGGCAAAAATACACGTTTATCGGTGAGGGCCTAGTTGAATTACTTAATTTTACCAAATATTCTATTAAATTTATCAATATTTTGGACAATAAATTATTGCTTTATTTTTGTTCAAGCATAAGACCATGAAGCTTAGCATCATGCATGAGAAATTTAACTAGATATCAAAGTAACAATCAAACAGATTGCTAAGCAATGTAGCAAACATATGAAGAACATCTCACTAAAATTGTTCAAGCCTCCCACCTATACCTTATCAAGAACTTATATACTGAAGTTAAATCATAAATTGCACGCACGCATGTGCAAAAAATAAATGAACAAGCAATCTGATGGAGGTCCACGACCAACATTGAAATATAATTTGCAGCCAGCCATGAAATGAAAGTCAAATGTATCCTATAATTAGGGTTTATAGCCAGGGCAGATTAGAATTAGAATGAAATGAGATCATCATCTTTAGATGACTGCTGCTTCTTTGGAACTTGGCCTGCATTCTGTGATGCTTCCCCACCTTTTTTGCCAAATATCATCTCATCAAGATCATCCATCATATCATCATTGTTCCCTCCACGACTGCCAGCTCTCGGACCAGCCGGCTTTCTAATCAAGGCATCTTCTTGAGTATTAAGAGGCGACTCGTCTGGCTCAATCGCAACAGGTATCATAGCAGGTTCCTGCCTAAGAGGAGGAGTAGTGGACGGCTTGTTCAACTCTTCATACTTGGTGAAAACCTTCTGAATCTCATCATTAACATTCAAGGCCTCAAAAAGAAGTGCCTCATCATCTCCAGCAGTCTCGATGATTCTCTGTACAGTAAATTGAGACTGACGACACTGTTGTACAAGGGTTGCGGTCAAATCATCCTGCAGACAAAAAGGTCAGATTTGTACCTCCAGCATTCAACAGTTCTAGGGTGTGCTTATTTCCTTTTAAGGAACCTTGCGAGTCTAAAACTGATACATATCAACAGTGTAATCAAATTAAGGGGAAAACAAAAGCAATGAAAAGCTCAAACTCAAAACAAATTTCCTCAGTCTCCTGTTTCGTTCTGTTCTATTTTGGGAGGAGGGAGTGGGTTGTCCAGAAATTGCACAAGCCTAAATAATAGTCTAACATCAGCTATGTCCAGCCAACTGGATTAAGAATGGCTGACAGGCATCTACGATAAAGTGTTGCTCCGGTGTTGTCCAGGTCAAAAAAATGGAGAATAAATAGCAAATTTGTAACAACGGTGACAATGGCCATCAATATAGAATAATAAATGCAAATAATCAACAGATTAATTAAAACTAGTGACTGGTTAGTTGTCATAGATCAAACAGGTTGGTAAAACTGTTCAACCAAGTAATTTTCAATATTCTTTAAAGAGGCGGTATCAAGATTACCATAATTCTTTTAATAAAAAAATGGTGAATTTATTCTCTTAAAGTCAACTTTGTCCTCAACAACAAAGACAACAGTCATAAACTCAATTCAATCAAGCAAGTGATTTACTTCTCCCTAAAGCTGTGGATTCTTAGACCCATCAATGTTTTTTCTCAACATCTTCATTTCTATATAGAGATGAAGATGCTCTTTCTCAACATCATTTGTTCTATTCCGCTTTATTTTTTATTTTTTATTTTTGGTGGAGAAGAGAGGGTTTGATAATGGAATTCCTTCTTCAGCCTCGAAAAAGAAAAAGGAAATGAGTTTGTGACTGGACAATGCTATTGGACCAAAAATGGGAGACCTAAAATCTGTCTGTGACCCAAGAATAATTAGGCAGAAACACGGAAACAACACCCCAGGCAAAAAAAAGGAAAAGAAACATATGATAAGCTGATTAAGGAACCGCTCCAATCAGACCAAGATGGAGATTGGGCAACCGAATAAGTAGGATGTCAAAGCACATGCATCCACATATGAGAGCCAAAATCATTAAGTAGAAGAATCGAGCAGTATGAGAACAATTAGACATGACAAAGGTAGAAGGAATATGGAATGATTGCAAAAAGAAGAAAGAAAAGCACAATACTCATTCCGTTCCTTATTATAAGAGACATTTGCTGCTTATGACATGTTCCTATATATAAGAGACACTTAAAAGTTGTATCTACTTTTTTGTGTTGATTTCCTATTTTACCCATATTTATTGTTTCCAACTCACACTTTCTCTCCTTCCTACTTCTCTTTCTTTTAGTAATTTACCATTGTTCTCTCTCATGTTCTCTCTCCTTATTAATGAGGGCATTTTTGGACAAAAATTAGACTTTTTACACATTGATTGTTCTTAACTAATTTTAACTGTTTTTTTTATCAACGTAATTCGGTTATTCGTCTCTTATAATAAGGAACGGAGGGAATAAAACACAGGATACGTTATGTAGCAAACTCCAATTTGATCTTGATCCAAATATTAGGGGGCTAGGTTTTGTTACCTGTCTGTTTCCCCCCCCCCTCTCCAGCGGTGAATTTGTTATGTATTAAATAGGGGACATATGAATTAGTTAGGAAGTTAGGATTAGTTTGTTAACAAGAGCCGAGGGATTAGGCCATAAATAAATTGGTTGGGGTAGTTAAACTAGGCTTACGAGAAATTGAGTTCTGTTCCCTCTTTTTCCCTCTCTCCTGCTTATCTACCTCTCCCTCCCCTCTCTTAATTCCATCCGTTTCCCTTTCTTTCCCTTCTCTCTCTCTCTCTCTCTCTCTCTCCCCCCCCTACCTTACTTGCACATCAGAATTAGTATAGTAAATAAAATTAAAACAAAGGTACTAATTGTTGAGAACCCACGTTGAGTTTGGTCTACTGGAGGATTAGCAGTTCATTATTACTTAAAGAGTCATAAAGTTAACTATTTTCTAGGAGTCTTAGCATTATTTATCATTATCACAAGGAGTTTGTTGTGTATTTAATAAAAGGAGTACAGGAAGAGGAGGTTCCCACAATGAATGTAAGAGTTGCGCGTCAGTGGAAGTCATCTCGCTCACCACATTGCTTCTTTTTATCCTGAATTTTACCCTAATATTCATTGCCATATGGCAAATTCAACGTGGAACATATGGCATAACAAAACATATCTGCAGCTGACACACAGTATTGCATAATAAATGAAAATTATTAACCAAGAACAAGTATTTTCAACTTCCATATGTATGGTCCTTTCAAAATTCAGTAAATGTTTGCTCTTTATCTAACCTTAGTAGCAGAACAAGGTAAAAAAACTGACTATTAGACAGCACCATCACACAAACCCGTAACTCCCTCTAATTCACATCGAGTTTCTCATATGCTAAATCAAAGATATGAGATGTAACAGCTTTGGAGAAAGTAATGAATTATAATGCAACATGAAGATTATGCAGCTAATGGTTCATAGCTATTTATAGTGCAGCCAAGAGCTAACCATTGACACTTACAGGGTTGCAGGCAAAATGAAAATATAACTCAAAAAGTTTCAGTCTAAACTAAGATATTTAAATCAAACTCATCTTCAACTGCAATATCATCATCAAAGTAATCACATTAGGTATTAGATAATCCCTCAATTTTCCATTCATCTTTTGGAGAAAGCAGTTGAGGTATTGCAGTAGGTCTGGTCATGTCAGTGCATTAGCAGCAGGTGCTGGTTTGAAAAGCACATTCTTCAGCCTTTCAAAATGATTTAAATTAGGAGTGTTGCTCTATTTAGCCATAGGGTATACAGTGCAAAGCAAAGTTAAAGGAAAGTAGTGTGTATAGGGTGGCTACTTGAAATTCACAAGGTTATAAATGTCTCGTAGCACTATGGTCCACAGCATGGAGCAACAAACTAATTATCTCTGAACTCCTATGACCTTAAAATTAAAGCACATCATATTCCTTTGGTCCTAAATCAAGGAGCTAGTTAGGAAGCTACCTTTAATCTTAAATATAAGACCTTAATCTATTTTATCTCTCATATTTATCATTTTTTTCTAGACTGATTTATCTACCTTATACATTGATATATAATCTAACGTTACGTAGAAGTATTTTACAAAGACCATGTCACATTTGTTAAAATTAATTAATTTATTTAGCTTTCTTAATCTGTCCAAATTAGTTAAGTAACTCTTACATTTAGGACCAAATGAGTGCAATTTATCCACATAAGTTACATAACAAGCATGTACACAAATAAAAGTTCCGAGAAGCCCAATAGAATGTGGCAGAGACATGACACAAAAGCCCCAGACAATATGGCACGATATATGCTATGTACCTAGTCAGAGAGGACAGATAATCTTCCAAACAAAATCCTATGACGATCTATCTTTGGCACCATATATGAGTCCAAACATTTGTCATTAATAGTTATCAATTATTGGATATATAAAAGCAGTACAACATGACAAATTAATACCTTTAGAACATCCTGTTGAGGTGATGAAGACAGAACAGTAGAAAGAAGCTCAATGCTATTTCTTGCAACATTGAAAGCCTCCTTTGTTTGCTCAGGCGTGAAAGTCCGCACAGGAATATCATGCTGAACCTGTCCCGACTGATTAACATGAACTTCAGAAGCAGTCACTGAACGAGGGGGAGTGAAAATAGGTGCCAAACTTTCATTGTCACGACCTGGGAACCGAATACCTCTTGATTTCAAACTCTGGACCAGAAAAGTGGTCATCAAGGAAAGTTAATAAAGGAGTTCTCAAATAATTGATTCCTGGCATAAAAATAAACTAACGAGGAATTTATCTAAGCACTATAACCTGAGACTCCAAAGTTATGATCCCAAAAAAAATTCTAAAATCATTATTAGCATTTTGGCAAAAAGTCTTCCAAAATTTTCTCATTCAGTGAATTGGGATTTGGACCAGTAATTAATAGTAAACAAAAGAAAGCCCTACGATGTTGTATTAAATCGTTTCCTTCCTTCCAGCTTTTTTCCTCCTATTTCCTTCAAAATTCTTCATATAACGATTAAAATAATTAGGTTTAAGAGCATCCAAACTGTTAAAATACCTTGTACGTTTCTTCAAATACTGGCAAAAAGCGAAGCTCACTGGTTGACTCCCCCCATGCCTCAATGAGTGTTAAGGCCTTGTTCCGGTTATTCACAACAGTCTGAGGGTCATCAATCAGCCTGACCATTTCATCAAGGACTTTCTCTGCTGCCACTTCTGAGAAGGCCCTTTCACAATTTTTAACGCATGTTTCAAGCAAAACCATAGCCAGGTACTGAACCTTAGGACTCTTAACCGCGATCCGTCTCTTGATTGAACGAATCAATTCTAAACTGTTGACCTGTTCATGATTGACCGAATCGCAAAGCTCAAGATTCATAGCCCAATCAGGCTCATCAAGGTTCTCAGAGGTGGCATCCTCAACAAGCTTATCAATCTCGCTTGGACCCTGAAAAAATTCCCTCATCTTGAAGCTCATAGAACTCATGCCTTCACTCATCTTTCGACCCACCTCGGACCCGCCAATTTTCAGGCGCTCCCCCAAGGCGCTGACTTTATCCATCAAATTGTCACTCATCTCTTCCCTGTTTCTGACACCCTTTTAAAATGTAACCCCCCAACAACCCCACAAACAATCGTCCTCAAAACCTAGAAAATTCAGCGGAGAGGAAATTGCAGTGATATACTCGTACAATGGGTTAGTCAAAACCAAAATGTTTGGATCAAAACATAAATGCCAAAAAGAGAAAAGTCAGTTCCATAATCGAAAAGGTAGATTCCAATCTGTATTTGGACGTATAAGGGTCAGAATTGAAACGCACCTTTGGATATTGAGATGAATTTGGTTGAGTAGACCACGCGCAACAACTGCGCAAAAGCGTTGTTGGGTTCCTTGAAGCCTCAGTCTGTTGTCTCGCAGCCTTGAAAAGTTCTGTTAACACTCCCTACAACAAACGTACGGCGAGATTTTAAAGTTCATCATTAATTCTTATTAATAATTAATACTCCTCCGGCCCTAATTATAAGACCCAATTGACTTATTTGAGGAGATTAAGGAAGTAAGTTAAGTTGGTTATTTATAATAAATAAGTGTTGTTATTTCTAAAATATCTTTGCTAATTAAGTATATTGGCTAAAACTATCATTATTAGAAGGATTATCTTGGAAAAAAATGTATAAATATAAAAGAGAAAATGGATTGGGTCTTATAATTAGGACCAAATAAAAAGTCAAATTGGGTCTTATAATAAGGACCGGAGGAGTACTACTTTTTAATTAATTGTTTGAATAAGTTTGGCGGAAGAATATGCAATTATTTATAGATAATTAATTCAACTTATTTTAATTATTGATTTGATTATTGAAGAAATGTTATTTTTTTAAAACAAAAGAAATTATATGCAGCAAAAACAATCACGAGCCGCTGGGAAGCCAAAAAAAAAAATCACGAGCTTTTGGAACCTTTTATTTTATTTTTAATTTTTCTTTTAATGAATGAAACTAACAAAGGGTTACGCGAGATAGAAAATTTATGAAAACAGAAATAAAGTAAAATCCAACAACATCAATGCCAATCAATAATTTAAAATTTAAAATTTTATGTATTTAATATTTTCATTCAAAAATTTAAATATAAAAATGGACATATGTTAGACCAATTACATGTGCTAAAAAATATATATATGTACCAATACATTTTTTTTTCCTCTAAGAGAGATAATGACTGGTGATATGTTATTTTCTTCATTTTACTTTTCTTTTTTTTTTTCCCTTCTCTTCTTCAAATTACGAAGTAATTAGATCAAATTTGGATTTCTAAAATTAATACTCCATGCAATAAAAAATATAGATATAAAAAATTGTTAATAGTTAAATTAATAAAAAATATAGTTATTTATTAAAAAAGTACCATGATTTTTCTACAATACTACTTTTAATTATCTACATTGAAATTTTCTCATCTATAGAAATTCCGTTTAATGTGTAATTAATAGGATTAAAATAGATCAAGGTTTTAAATCTAAGACTAATAAAACAAACTTTCTAACTAGCTTTTTTTATTTGACTAGGAAACTTTCTAACTAGCTTATATGTTTAGAATAGGAGACAATACATTGTTATTAATTTAGTACTACTCCGATCATTAATGTAAGACATAATTAATCAATTTGAGTAGATTATAGATATTAGTTAAATTAGTTAATAGGATATTTTTTTAAAACACTTTAAGTATTTTTCTTAATTCCTCTATTTCTCCTCCTACTTAGTTATTTTTGAAAGAATATCAATAGGTTAATTTGGAAAAAAAAATTAATAAACATGTAAAATAGGTTTTACATATGGAACCAATATTAACTCTCTAATTAGCTTCTATATTAAAGATTGGAAAAGTAGTTTGATAATACTTTTATAAAATGTTAGAGAAAAAAATTAACCTTTAAGTCTTTCAATTTCTAACTCACTTATAATTCAGTTCTTCAACTGTAACTTATTACAACTCAATCTCTAAACCTCTAACTAGCTCAATAATTTAGTCTCTCATCTTTTTTTTTTAATATTATTATCCTTGTCTTATCCTATGTGACAATAAAAAAGATTGAGTTATAAGCAAGTAAAAAATTTATAGATTGAGTCACACTGGTTCATAAGTGAGGGATTGAGTTAGAAATGAATTAAAAATAAAATAACTAAAAGATTAGTCTACCCAACCTAATGTTAATTGTAGAAACGTAGATATCTAATTCTGGCAACGGATGTTACCCAACGGGGTATGCTTTTAGTTCGCTTGGAATCTTTTTTTTTTGGGGGTCAAAGTTCGCTTGGAATCTAAGCAACTAATGATCGCCTTAATTTTGGTTTTAAAGGGAAGCACATTCTCTGATATGATTAATTAGCTAATCATATTGAAGCTACTTTAAGAGAAAGGTGATTTGTGAAGTTACTCAAAGCCTCAGACACATTTTAGAGGCAACAAACTTGATTAAATGGTTGGTTAATCAGCACCACATGATATGATGGTTGATAATTAGAGACTGGACTATGGAGCCATCTGCTAAAATTTAATTTAAGTCTAAGTAGCTTAGGTAAAATGTAATTTTTGACCATGGATTTATTTAAAATATATTAATTTCTTTCCTAGTTTTCATAGGAGGGTTGACTCCCCCAATCCATCACTATCAAGAAGAATTCTAACTTTGAAGAATGACATCCAAATTCCTCTAAATTATCCAAATGTCAATTCATGAAATCAGCAAATGAAATAAAACCTCAAGAAACTTGAATTGAAGTAAATTTTTGAACATATTCATATAAATGTCCTTTTTTTATATAATAAATTACTTCCTATTATCACCGGCAATTTTAGCCGCGGGTCATTACTCATTGCTGGTTGGCAATAGTGATCAGTGAATTATTGAAAAAGGTGGTAAATAAGATGAGATTTGATCTCATTGTATGGTTTCCAAAAAGTAACATGACAAAACTAATCATTTATAACACACTCTCATTTTTAGGGTTCTAACTATGGGCAACAATGTTTGAAAAAAAAAAAATGAAGTACTTGGACCGATTACTAAATTCATCAGTAATAAAACTAAGGGTGATACCATTGCTAATCCTTATGATTTGATTTGATGAAATTTTGGTGCAGTCTTTATAATTTTAAATCGGTGATTTTAATGTCTATAATTTTATAATTTTTTATTTAAAAGTTTAATAAATAGTCTCTATACTTTTAACAAGTAAAACTATAGAGATTAAGATGAACTATTTGGACAAAAATCAAAATTCATTTAACTACGATGATAAAATGGGGTAGCAAAAATAAAAATGTTGAGATGGATTCTTGTTATACAAGAAAAGATAAGATTCAAAATGATCATATAAGAAAAAAGTAGGCATGACACCAATAGAAGAGAAAATAGTTAGAAATTGTTTGAGGTGATATAAGCATGTACACAGAAGTCTTTGTAAGCATTAATAAGAATGGTAGATCAAATGATTTGGAATCCTCTTATAAGGGGCATAGCCGCATAGGAACCAAAGAGAATATTGAATGAGATCATTGAATACAACTTTTTGATTAACAATTGTCTAAAAATTTGATTATTGATATAGTACAATAATATCATGTTGTCCATATAACCAACCCTATATAACTAATCCCATGTAATGGAATAAAGAATGTTGTTATTGTTGTAAGAAATGGTATGAGTTAAGGTGCATAAAGCACAACACTCTCAGGTATTTTGTAAGGTGCACTCTAAAATATTTTATGATACGTTCACTATTTTAAAATATTTTTTTAGGTGTATTTAATACGTTATAGTATTTTGTAGTTTATCCAGCACCCTAAAAAAATTTTAGATTCAACACCATAAAAACTATTGTAAATATTTATGGTGCTTAATATATATCCATTTAACAAATTTTTGAAGAGTTAATAATGAAGTTAAAATTGCTCAACAATAATATTTTAAAGGGGAAATTGCAAAAAAAGACCTTGGAATTGTAAAAACGCAGATAGGGACCCTTGACAACTTCACTTTGGGTTTTGACAAGAATAATATGCCCTGAAGTTGTCAAAACCCAAAGTGAAGTTGTCAAGGGTCCCTATCTGCGTTTTTGTAATTCCAAGGTTTTTTTTGCAATTTTCCCTATTTTAAAAGCACAATTACTTCTACATAAATTAATACTTTTTAAAAGTAAAATCATATTACTCTTTCGGTCCTTAATATAAGACCTATTTAACTAATTTGATTAGTTTAAGAAAATTAGGTAAGTTAGTTAATTATAAGAAAAGTGAAATATTTTTCCTAAAATACCATAATCATCTTTTTTAATGCTCCCTCTCGTTTTTCTACTTGATTATAGTTGAGAGAATATCCATAAGGGTAATTTAGAAAAAACTGATAAATATGAAAAATGAGTCTTATATTTAAAATCAAAATTAACTCAAGAATTGAGTCCTATATTAAGTACCGAAATAGTATGAAATATTTTAAATGGCTCGATATTCATATACCTGCTTGACGCCCACAACTCAAATGGCATAAACCCTTTATTTATTTACTAGTAAGATGCTTACTTTTTCAGCAAGGGGGAGGTTGGGGTGGCGCCGGGAGGGATCGTTCCTTCTATGTTTTCGCGAGGGAATTCATTTCTCTCGAGCTTTTGACATTCTTATTTCAGATCGCGGAAGCGAACGAAGTGTTTTTTTTTCCCCCACTCCCCTTCTCATCTTTCACTATTTTCATTTTTATTTTATTATTAATTTTCCCCTTTTGGAGTTGCCTGAGAACTTTCCATGATAAACCCTAACATTAACAACCTTAAACTCCTCTTCCGTCTTTGACCCTCCGACCCTTCTCTAGTTCTCAGGAGCTTGGGAAGAAGAAGGTGTTTTTCAGATGGATTTCACATGGTTGAATGCACTTCTAGTCGGGGCAGGTTGTCTTGCTTTTGGGTATTTCATTGGTTCTAAGTATCCTCTTCGCCTACTTATCTCAGCAGCGATAGCTAAAAGGAGTTCAGTGTTGGAAGGGAAGGAAGGGAAGAAGAAGAAGAATCCCAAAGAGCCGCTTGAGATTGAACATCTGGCTGATTTACTTGATGATTTTAAAATGGTAATTAATTCTTTCTCTTACAAATCCACTAACTGATTTCCAGTGGGAAGCTTGAAAATGTACCATCATTTTTCTGCAGGTGTTGGTTGTGAGAAACGATCTTAAAATGGGTAAAGGGAAAATTGCTGCTCAGTGCAGGTATTTCTTAATTGATTTAATTTAATTTTAATTGCATGCATTAATTATATATCTCTTAATGTTTGACTCGTAATACAGAAATTGGCTTTTGGTTATCCTAAATAAAGTGAGTGATTTGAAGATTGGAACTTAGAAAACAAATGATAAATGTACATCTGGAAGCAAGTTCTGATGGCCATTATTTGTGAAAATCAAGAAATGTTTTCCCCTTAGATGCTGTTAAGATGGAATGACTGAGAATGGCCATAAAATTATAGGTCAGCTGCTTTAAATCCTAGATTTAAGGAGGTTTTGAATGTTCTTATTTATTCTGCTTTCTGTCCGGGGCTTGTTGGTATGATTGAAGCCTTTCGAAAATGAGAACTGATAGCAGGGTTTATGAAAAGTGTTTATTCATGGTGACAGTCATCACAATCTGTTTTTAAGTGACAGTAGCGGTTTGAGTGAAAATGGTGTGGGTCAAAAGAGGTCAATATTTTCCACTTGATAGCATTGCTTTCTATGTTTTAAACTTCAAATACTATATGGATGATTTCTTATTACATGGGGCTGACTGGCGTGGTTCTAAGAATGCATTATTTTCACTGTCTTTATGAGAAGTAATTTAAACACGAAGTTTAGTTCTGATTTTTCTCTTTCATTTGTTGATCTTCTATGTTTTTAATTTTATTTAAGTGGACAAATTTTGTTTTCCAACTGATATATGGTTGAATCCAGTTCTTTTTATTCTGTAGTCACGCTACTCTGGGTCTCTACAAAAAGCTTATCCATCGAGCTCCAAAAGCTTTGAATAGGTACAGCCACAGGTTTTGATTTCACTCTTAGGTCATCCGTGATTGTGTCTCTTCAGTATGAAGCTTGTCAATATGCAGGTGGGAGATGTGTGCACAGCCCAAGGTTGTTGTCAAAATTGAAAGCGAGGAAGATATGCTGGTGTTGCAGGTGAGCGTTATTTAGAATTATTTGGTGCTAAGTCAGCGAAGTTTTTGTTTAATCTACTTAGTAGCTGAGTGTTGGCATGCCTGCCTGCCTTTTTATATTATTCAGAGTTGCTGATTATGATTATGATTATGATGCACAGAAGTATCCATAATTGGACATTTAATCTACTTCTGCTAATGAATCATTTAAAATGGGTTGGGAGTTTAATTCCTAGTTCACATGAATAGTTTTCTTATCATACCATCATGCTAACAGCGGTGTGGTTTGTTCAGATTTCTATTCTCATAGCTTTAATGTACAAATGGGTAGGTCGGCAAGTAAAAATAAAATTAGGGGACACAAATCCTATCAGACTTAGTAGCCAGAAATGAATGAAGGTGATTTGGATTATTCATGACTTTTTTGAAAGGACTATGTACTCTTAAGGTCATAAAATTGGTACCAAAATGCAGAGGGGAACATCTAGATCTAGCAGATGACCTGACCCGAATCTGCAGGATCAAAGTTGTGGAATTTACCATTGTAACAAAGGGGCATCTTGAAGTAAACCATGAAAGTGTAAATATTGGTCTAAGGAGACTTGGCTGTGAAAACACTAACAGAAAGCCTCAGTTTAAGGAGATCTGTTTCTGTTCTTACTGGTGGCTGCAACCCTACAAATGCATATGCTTGATAATCTTTTGAAGTGCGTTTCTTGATAAATGTTTATAGAGTCATATGGGGATAATATATGGTTGCTTGGGATAGTGAAAAGGACAGGAGTGGACATTTAGCTAGAAATTTTGCATTGTTTGCAACGGAAGGAAATTTTCGTAGCCTCAAACACATCTATGAATAAACTGGTCCTGGATTATGATTTAGTAAACTATACACGGAAGACAAAATCAATGTCAAATTTTATTTGCTTATCCGCATTGTTTAATTTGACAGGAAAGAGCGAAATCATTGAAATTACCTACGCATATCACAATTGATGCGGGGAGAACACAGATTGCACCAAGTGAGTTAATAGCACTTTGCATATGGGTCATTGTATAGTTCTCGGTTTAAGTTTATCAGGTCCTTTGCTCTGTTGTTTGTTCTTCTGATATTGCTGAAGCTCTGCTTGTAATGATCAACAGTTAATTTCCATTTGCCAATAATCTTATATATGTTACAGATTCTCAAGAAAAGTATTGTTCAGTGTTGATTTTGACTGCCCATATCTCGTTAGTCAGTAGACAGTTGGTCTCCTTTGGATCTATTGTAAATAATCTCATCCATTTTCCTGGGAAGTGGTCTGGAAACAAGGAAGCTAATGAGCAAGTTGTGAAGTAAAGAACGTGTTCATATAAAGCTTGAAGGATCTAGTGCTGTAGAGATGACTGACAACTATATATTGACCATGAACTAGGGTCTCTAATTCCTCATTTTGATCAGACTGGCTGATGCGTATGCTTATGAAGATGAAAGGGTGAGAGAACGTCTTGAGAGGGAACGTTATAGAAATTTTGTTGGATAAAGTGAACATCTTGAAGAGAAGTTATAATTGAATAATAGGACTCATGCAGTTGTCCTAAAACTAATGTGACAATCTCTTGATCACGACGATCACAAGATACGATAGTTTTTCTTTTTGATTTTTTGGTGGAAAGAAGTGATGTTTTTTCTACCTGTAGTTACTACTGGCATTAGTAGTTTCCACATTTTGTTTAATTTAATTTGTACACTATTATTAAATTCTCTCAGCTATTGTTAATATCCATATAGCGCTTATCTTATTCACTGTACTAATGTTTTTTTTCCTTTCTTCTAGATTCCAGAACAGTGATGGCAATAATGGGTAAATTCTCTTTTCTAATGCCATGGGATACTGCCTTTTCCATTTTCATTTGGGCTCTTCCTTCTCCTTTTCAGCTCAACGCTTATTTCTTTCTTCCTTTTCTTTATATTCAATTTAATTTCCTTGTACAGGGCCAGTGGATGTGGTTGATGATGTAACCGGCGGACTGAAACTTCTCTAGTCCTCATTTCATTCAAGTGATCTCTTGTTTATGAAAACCGGTGTTCTTAGAGAACAGAATTGCTGCTTGTGGCTATTCAGCCTAGCCTCTCAAGAAGCATTGATGCTTCTCCTGATAAAGATTCATATTTAATCTTAAATTAACGGCCACAATGATGATGATGAAGAAAAATTGGGTTATGACTTATGACAGTCTGGGTTATTGTCTAGTTACATGTAATGATAGTTTCCTAATGTAAAAGATGGTTCATGGAATTGTATTGGTTCCAATTTATTTATGAATCTAAATTTATGCTTATTTTTAATTATGATTTCATAAACGAATCATGTTTCAAGCTATTAATGGTTGCTACATCAATAGGAGGAAGTGCCATCCATATTATGGGCATGAGTGTTAGGTTTCTGGTGAGAAAATATAAATAGGGAGAGAAGGGTGAAAAGAGAGGGGAAGTGGCAAGGATGAGACAAATTTTAGAACAAGAATCTGAAATTTTTGAGAAAGACTCAATTTGCGAAATAATACTTCATTACAAATTTATATGTGCCTCATTAGCTTTCATTTCTCATTTTCTTTAAATGGACAATCTGAGTCAATACAATTTTTGTTCTATTAATTTTTTTATTCATTTTGATTTGGTTCCAAAAAAAAAGTGTTTCAGGTTTTTATTAAATTATAAAATTTAATGTTTTAAACGAAAATAAATTTAAATGTTTAAAATTTATGATTTAAAATTTAAGAGGCTAAACTTGAAATGAAAACAAATTTAAAAAATTAAAAATTGCACTGACTCAAAATTTATTACACACACTTGTTGACTCACCATGTATAAGGTTAATTTTTACTCTATCCTACCCTCCCCTATAAGGGAGACCCATATATACCCTTATACCATTTGAGGAATTTTTTTTTTTGGACCTTGAAAATACTTCATTCTAAAGAAATCAACAAAATAGTTCAAATCTAAAAGGAAACAAAACAAACATAACCATAGATAACAAAAAGGGAAACAAATTGATTATGACACAGGTTTAATTAAACCATCACGGGCCGTCATAGCTTCAGTGGTTAAATCATAGGAGCCATTGGAGTGCATCTGCTTATTTTAGTCATGTCAATGAAAAGGAGAGCGTTCAAAGAAGGTGATCATATTTGAACCCACCTCAGAATGCATGCTTTCGGTTACTGAAACTGCTAGAAAATCAGCAGTGGAGTTCCCTCGCATAAGGAGAAAGAAAATCGTAGACCAGAACGAGAAGCTATCAACTAATAAAATCCTTTAATTTGAGGGATTTGATCTGACAACTTTCTTTTATATGCAAGGGTAATTAATCATGCAAACTAATTCATCCAAATCCTTTAATTTTTCCCCCTTTTCACAACTAATCTAAACATAAACACAAAACAATCTAATCATTTTCACTTCAGTCCGTTACTGATGATATTTGAATATCTGGAAAGCTCGAAGGGACCAATTTCCACAAAGTGCACGGACTCGCTGTGCACCGGTGGCACTTCATGGGGATCATGTAGACAATAAAAAAATTATGAGGAGTGATTTGAAAA